TAAATCCCATGACCTCCATGGGTCTTATATACTTTATTTATGGCTCAATAGAAATAACTCATGTTTATGGACTATTTACTCCAAGGCAAACATTGCTAAGCACATTATGCACATTAACTTAATTAACCCTTAGGATACCTATATCTATGTCATAAGTATAACTAAACCATTTGTGTGGAAGAGGAATAAGAGACCAAGAGAAATGAATAGTTTGGGCAAGTTCACAGAACTGCAATTGTAGGATCATGATTCAGACAGGTTCCCTGACTCTAGGCTGTGGCTTGCACCTTTAATTGCTGGACTGTGCAGCTTCGTGTGAGCCAGAAAGTCTCAAGGTCTCTTCCAGAACTGCAGTCTTGTACTTTATACAGCTGCACACTTCCTCATGTTGGAGGATCCTTGGTATTCCCTAACTTCCTTTTTAGAAACATTTATTAAAAAATTCAAATTTATCTCTAATGTTGCTCTTACTTGTTTATCCTATAACTCCATTGCTCTTGCAGAGCAGAACTGGCTTCTCCAAATGATTTATGCAAGTCAACCTTACGGACCATTTCTCCACTAGCAATGCACTTTACCCTCTTAAAAAACAATGCATTTTCTTCTGAAATTACTCAAGGCTCTCTTTTTCTCCCCTCACATTTTTTTTTTGATTGATGGCAAGCATAACAAAAATGTTTACTTTTAGGTTCCATGTGTCAATCTTCCTCTCACTCATTCTGGTGGGGCTCATGATGGCATCATGGTTACAGTACGTGCTCTGCTCTCAGAGTCCAGTGCTGGTTGTGCCACGCAGTAACTGAAAGACCCTTGGCAAGTTATGGAATCTCTTTGTGCTTCTGCAAAACAGGCATAATAATAGTTTCTTCATAAGATTAATATGAGGATTTAATGATTTAATGAATACAAAGGCTCTTAAGTAACTCCCAACACATTGTAAATGCTTAGAAAATACTGTCTACTATACTTCTGTTTATCTCCTCAGATACCAGCCTCTTGTGATCACATTTCTATAGACTAAAAGCTAATTCCAACATACATGGAAAAGAGACAGCATATACTTCAGTGATTTAGAACATAGACTTTGGAATCAGAGAGACCTGGATTTACACTCTAACTATTTTTTTTTTAAATTTTAAATTTTAGTTGTGGATGGACACAATACTTTTATTTTTGTGTGGTGCTGAGGATCAAACCCAGTCCTCATTCATGCTAGGCAAGTGCTGTACCACTGAGCTACAACCTTAGCCCCTGCACTCCAACTCTTTATTTGCTAGCTGTATGAGCATGGGAAAACACAACATCCCTGAGGCTGTTTCCTCATAATATTATTATTATCCTCCTAGATAGATATGAAGCTCAGATGTATATATACCCATCCTTAGCTAACTTTTATTGGGGGCTGCAATCATAGGATAGAAGAAGTAAAGGAAAAAGGAGTGGATAAAGGAAGGAAAGGAAATACAGGTGGTGTATAATCAATTTTGCCAGAACTTCAAGAGGAAACACAGGGCATCTGTAGGTGTGTAGAACTATCCATCAATTGAAGGAAGGGAGAAGAATTCATCTATGATCTACCTCTGGTCTTCTGCCTGTCATTAATCTTCAATCCATGAAGTCTTGACTCCTTCGTACTGCTAGTTGTCTCACCAGGTCCATCTAGGCTGTTATGACGAAGCCAGATCCCATGTTGTACAATGAACTTTCTGAGCCCAGAAGTGGTGTGAGAACCCAGCACCTGGATGGGTCTGGTTAGTTTAGACCTGACTGTTGGAGCTGCCATGGCTGTGTCAGAACTCAGTCTTACCCCAGGGGAGGCTGACACTGCTTTGTCAGTAGATGAGACAGGATTCTCTATTAAGCAAGCAGCCAAAGGCCAGGAAACAAAATGGTCTGGACGAATCTGGGGAAATTCACAATTTTGTCTAATATGATGCCCAATTCAGTGACTGGCAGTTAGTATGCATTGTAAAAGTGAATGTTGATACTGTTATTGGTACAAATACATAATCAGAGTGTTAAGAATTCTAGGACTATTTGTGGCATCTAGATATGTTTTATTTCCCAGAAGAATGATTCTGAGTTTATAAGGTGATGAGGCACCCAGAGTTTGCCTGACCATAGGCTGAAATTGGCTCTGTAATTTGTCAGGCCAGGTTAAAAAAAAAAAATGAAACTGTAGGACCTTTTGTTGAAAACTTACTGAGAATTTCAAGACAACACTGTAAGGTAATAACTAGCAATGAGCAGTGAAAGGGAAGGAGCTTATTGGAAAACATGTCAAAAGAAAAAGATTAATGGGATTAATTCTTGATAGGGTCCATTGAGGTTGGTGTGAAGCTAGGAATTATGGCTGTAGGTGTCTCCATTTGTGTGGGAAGGATAATTTCTTTACCGGCACAGGCACACTAAGATAACTTCTGACCAGCTACTCCAATGTCCACATCAACATGGGATTGACTTGTAGATGAAGACCCACTAAATAGGGAGTTCCAGAGAGGTCAAAAATTTCACCCCCCTCCCCCCGCCACATGAGGGAGGAGTTGAGCAGCTGACTGCAAGGAGTGATCCCCCGTTCTCCAGGAGGGTATCAAAGAGTAATAAATTTGGAGACAGCACTGTCTCCTTTGTCTTCTCTGCTTGGAGACAGCCCACTCTCCCTCTGTCTCTCTCTGAGAGTGCCTCTCTGCTTAAGCCTCACTTTGCTTTTATTTTACTTTCAACTCACTTTTCACTTGTAATAAATTTTTCTTGTCTGGCATTTGGTGGCTGACTTCAAATTTTTCTTTCTTTGGAACACAAGAACTGAGGTTTGGAGTTTCAGCTCCCTGCTGAAAACAGGGCAACACCACCCAAGCACTAATCAAGCACCAGGCATTTCTAAACATGGAACTGTATGCAGTTGTACAGGTCCCATGCTCATGAAGGCACCCTCCTAGAGGCTCCAGGGACATACCTCAGACGTCTCATCTTTCACCTGAATTTAGACTAGCCCACATAACTCTTAACTTAATATTTTCTCCTTACCTGTAGAAATGGCCCAGTGGATACAAACTGACTACCATGTGTGGTGTTTAAGAGTCTTAGTTCTCAAATCACTTCTCCTCCACAGCCTTTTCTGTCTACACTTAAGTGTACAATGTTTTTTGGGAGCATGCACACAGATGGCTCCCAGAGTTCTGAGATGGAGCAGATGGGATGTTCTGAGGAGGTAGATGGAAAGAGGGCTTTTCCATGGTGAGAATGAGAAAGGAGGCAGATTATTATGCTTGTAAGGGTTTTGGTTGTAGAAAGTGAGATTAGTAGTTTCTTAAGAAAAGGGCTTTAAAGACAGATGAGGGGATGGCCGAGGTACCATATTGGGGGTGGGGGAAGGAAGTTCATATGCTAAACACAAACCTTACAGTTTTAACTGGGTCCAAGTTGTTAGTATCTAACCTTAAATTTTGTGAGTCTTAATAAACCACATAAATAAAATGTATCTCCTCTGTCTAGGATAGCTTAAAAAATTAAAGCTTAAGTCTTGTTGAAAGTGGAAACCGTTCTGTTCTGATACAATTCTTCATAAAAGAAACCAGGGCTCCTTGGAGAACTGGCTGATTCTAGGACTGAGGCAAGAAATATAAAATATAAATCTGGAGAGTCTTTTAGTACTGCAGAGTTAAGAATTACTCAAAAACAAAATGAGGGTTATGTCAAAGGGACACAGGTGCCACCAGGAAGGGTTCCCAATGGCACAGCTAGAATAATTTAACAAAACAAAAACATAGTATTGAATTATAACCTAAAGCATAAAATAAGTTTCCACGAGTCTAAAATGACATGAAAAAATAATTAATACAGAATAAACATGGAATAGACAAATTTTCTGTGCAGAAGAATTGCAAATAATTTATGTTGGGACCCTGTCCTCAGAGAAAGAGCGTAACTTCTCACTCCTTACATATGGACAGCACATAGTAACTTTATCCCAGAGTAGGGTGGAAATGAGGGGGGGGAGCAGTAGTTTTATAGTGAAAAACCCTGCAAAACTCTATATCATTAGCAGATCAAGGTTAACATCTGCAATAATAAGACACATTGATATATTTCCTTGATATGGCATGATGAAAATGGCGCTTGATTCCTGTGGTGTTTCTCCTGCAAACCCATAAATGCTGTTGAGTTATGAGAAACACATCAAAGAAAGGTCCATAGCCAAGAGGAACCTAAGAAAATGTGATGACAATATATTGTGATATCTGGGACAAGATCTTAAAACAGAAAAAGGATTTTAGGGTAAAATTAAGGAAATGTGGATAAAGTTTGGACTTAATAGTAACATACTGATGCTGGTTTATTAGTTCTGATGAATGTGTTATGTAAGTATGTTTACACTAGAGGAAACTGAATGCAGGTTACATGGAAATTCTGCATTATCTTTGCAACTTTTTTAAAAATTTAAAAATTCTTCTAAAATGAAAATCTTATTGATAAATTATATAAACCATTCTGATTATGCTTTCTGACCTCTGACTTGGTCATTATGTCATCATTGTCCTTTCAGGGAATCTCTGATTACAGTCTCTTGACTTTGACTTAAATAGAGGTAGGAAAATTGGTTACTATTGGTAAATGATAAGCACACAGGCTAAATAATTTTAGGAGTGAACATCACTTTTTGTGATCTGCTGTAAACACTGTTGGCTACCAATCTGGCACAACTGCAGACTACTCAATAGGATGAACATGAGTTAGTCTTGGCAGTGATTAAAAACTTGGCCCAGCCTTGCAGAGTGGGAGGTTCAGAGGGACTACCCACCATCATTCCATCTTGGAGGTTTCTCCAGGTGTCCTGCTGCCTTGCTTTCCCTCCTGGTAAGTGTAGAAGAGGTTATGGTTGGGAGGGAGCAGCTCAGCACCATGCACTCTTGAAGCAGTGGCTTCCTTAATCTCCACAGTAACCCTGTGCTAGGAGGGAGGAAATCACTGGATTGCTATCCTGTCAGAGTTGTGCTTGGGGACCCCCATGTTATCCAGCACTGGGCTTTGATTGCCCCTGAAGACACAGTGCCATCCAGGACCTTTGAAACCTGGGGATCTGAGGGGCCCCACTCCAAGGAGGTACTGGGTAGGGGTGTGGCCCTTTCTACCTCCGGCAACTTCTGCAACAGTGCCCCTCCTGAACCTCTTGCTCTTCTCTACCTTGGGGCAGGTGTGTCCTCGGTTGAGAGAGTGCTGGCACCTCCAAGATGGGCTGGGGAGACTGCTACTATACATACACTGAGCTCCTGGACATTTCTCAGCGCTTCAAGCAGAACACCAAAGAGCTCATGATCACCTGGATCCTACAGGTGTAAGACCAGGGGGACTCAGCTCTGTCCCTGAATTCCAGGGAGCTGACGCTGCTGGGTGACCTAATCCAGGATGCCATTTTCAGCTATCACCGCAAGATGCTGCTCACCTGGCTCCTGCAGGCCTGGTATGGACACTGGGTTTCTTCCTGCACTTCGAGGCCACTGAACTGCCCTTCTGTCCTTGAACCACCGTGGAGGTGGGCATCCAGATGGTGCGTAAGCTGGGCATGCTCAACTGAATCCACCATGAGCCGCCCTCACCACCCTCACCTCCTGCACCCGAGTATGCCAGAGGATGTGCCTTTCACTCAGGCCCTGCAGCAGCTCCTTCTGACAGCGGTGCCCTCTGAGCCGTGGCTCTCACTGGTCAGCCTGTTAGTCAAGGGCATGACCGTGCTGGGGGTTGCGATGAGATCCAGCTCATTGCTAATGTGGGTTTGCTTTGGTGCCAGAGCCAGCCAGGCTGTGCCAAGCTCATGCTGGGGCCGGACCCCACATGCAAGGACCTCACAGGTTGGCTGCTTAGCTATGGGGTGCCCAGGGAGAGGGTGAATGAGCGGCCCACCAAGGTCCTCCTTGAGCTATGCATCAAAGAATCCAAGCACTGGGGCAGCCAGCCAGTCTATGGGCCAGGAGAGGAGCAGCTGCCCCCACCCCCCTACGCTGACCAGGTCTGCCGGGAAGAGTCTCCCTCGTGCCAGGACTAGCCCCTCCCACTAGCCCACCCAGTGGGTGCGGTGGGAGGCCAAACTAGAAGAGCTGCTTTCAGCCTAGAGTTCAGAGAGGGTGCATTTCCCATGTATCTCAAGCACCCTTACTCATGGTCAGGGGCCCCAGAAGAAAGGGGCGTCCTTATCTCTGGCTGCTCTTGTTCGTTAACACTGACCAGAGTCATGAAAAGAGTCATGAAAACAGCCACTTGCCCAATTGGGCCTTGGAGTGGGTTGTGCCATTTTGTTAATCTCAGCCTGGCATCAGCATGATTGGGCACAGTAGTGGACCCTCCCTCTGCCATTTGAGCCCCCAAACACTACAGGCCAAGTGGAAACCCCATGGCCCACAATCCCTGACATCTTGTTTTTACTTTTTTTTTTTTTAAGTTTTAGATGCAATATTTTTTTTTTAAAGAGAGAGAGAGAAAGAGAGAGAGAGAGAGAATTTTTTAATATTCATTTTTTAGTTTTCGGTGGACACAACATCTTTATTTTTTATTTTTATGTGGTGCTGAGGATCAAACCCAGTGCCCTGCGCATGCCAGATGAGCAGGCTATCGCTTGAGCCACATCCCCAGCCCTATTTTTACTTGATATTTTTTCCCTTTGCAATGTTTTCCCTCTCCAGGTCTTGTTTTTCTTTTAACTATTGTAATGCTTCCATTTTAAACTGTGCTTTGCTGAATGCCCCCAGAGAGGGGCTACCCATCCCTCCAGGTGGGTCTGGTTTCTCTAATCTGTACATGTGGCCCCCCACAAGTCTCTGAGGTAGGTTTAGGGCATGTGAACCAGAATCACAGCTATGGGGACAACTGGTGGTTCTGCTCTCATTAAATGGTTCACTCATTAAAAAACAAAAACAAACACACACACACACACACAAACATGACCCAGCAAGCACAACAGGAAGCATAGTTTTACATCACATCAGGAGACTTCCCCAGATCTCTGACTTTCATAACAGCAACATTGGGCTGTGATTTGGAGGTGAATACTACTCACCAGGAACAGGTATTCCCATAATAAGCAACAATCCCATTTTTATTCCATCTGCATTAAAACCATCTGTCATAAGAGAAAAAGCAGGCAAAAAAAGGATTCCTAAGACAAATATTTATTCCTTGCCTTTGATAGATATAAATGTGCTAATTGGCATTTTGAATATTGAGAATTATGGGGAAAACATATAATTAATATTACCACTTAAACGTTTGACCTTACCTTCCACAATAGATACAATTATCTAATTAAAGAAGATGTAAATGCCAAAAGTAGAAGAGACATACTACTGCAACAGAGTGAATAGGTATGGAAAATTTCATTGTTGTCAAACTCTCTGTTTAATACCATTATTGAGATTCCTTTGTGCTTTTTATAAAAATTTGAACTTCTTATATTTAGGGTATATTTGAATGACTTAAATGGCAGAGGATGGAAATTTACAAGCATGGCCATAAATCTACTATATTATTTTCTTATTGTTCATTTGGATAAAATGCTTCCTTTTCCTAAGAAGCGTATTTTAAAGCAACAAGTTTATGGAAAAAATGCAAGTAAAATGTTAGAATATTTGCATTTGTAGAATAAACAACTACAAGCATTAATATTTCACATATTTGGTAGTTTGTCTTATTTAGTATTTATCAACCCCCAGATGTTGAGAAATTGGCAATCTTACTTTGTTTCTAAATATTTAATATTTTAAATCAGACTTTTCCTTTTTCCTGGTGTATTCCTGTTAAGGTGGGATAAGCAAAACATTTCAGAAAATTTATCCTGAGTTATTGGGAATAGAAGAAAGAGCTGATCTGAGATCTATTCTCGTATTTTCTGAATTTCAGTACATACTCAGAATGATTCTTTAAATAGAAGAGGTGTGTTTCTTTTGTTTCAGGAGTTAAAAAAAAAGTTTGATTGATGTCCCTCAAGTACTGGTTGAGTCTAAGAGAACACTTTTAAAGATCTAAGGATTAATGGGGTTTGAAGAGTTTAAAAAGAAAAAAAAAATCCATATTCAAGTTAATGTGTTTCCCTCCATCATTTTTCCTGGCTTTGAGTTTTCTGACATTGCCTGCCTCCTTGTCTCTTGGTATTTCTGAATTCTTTCCAGTCATTGCTTGACTGGGAATACATCCCTTTTCTTTTATGATATTCTATTGACGTTCTGTTGAAAATATAGTTATGAGAAGAAGGAAGAATAAATGGGAGCTGTTGGCTGTAACACAAGAAATGACCTAGGTTTCAGGTGGGGGTAGGGGTGGGTGGAGGAGAGAGGCAGACACTTGCCTGACCACCTAGTGAGCAGAATGTCCCTAGTTTGATGATTTTCTGCTTTCACTGGAAGGCAGCCCTAGGGCTGTTTGGGAAAGAAGCATCCACTAAATTCCTGAAGACTGTGATCATGTATTCCCTTCCCCTGCTGGGTTCTTCTTAAACCTAGCATGGCTCAGGATGCTTGTCCATCAAGCCATTTACTGTAGGTTTGAATTTTGAATTCTTATCTCCACTTGTTTATTCCTGTCCTACAATGGCCAAATCATGCATTCTGGGTGCAGTAGTGTGTGTGTGTGTGTGTGTGTGAAAGGGCAAAAATGTACTAATACTGACCTTCTAATGTGCTGGGGATAGTTTAAGGATCATTTCTGCAGATATGGACCTTGCTCACATGGAGCTTATGTTCTGAGATAGAATTAAGGCAAAAGCATAAAAATTAATAGAAAAGGAGCAAGAAAGGAAAGAAGGAAGAAAAGAAAAAAAATAATAAGTAGTGATAGGATAAGTACCAAGGCGATGGAATGAAAAGCTAATAGTGGGAAGGAGTCAACTGTAGATTGAGTTATCAGCAAAGGTGTCTTGGAAATGAAACTCAAGCTGAGAGTTAGAGGACAAAGAAGAGTATTTCAAATAGGAAAAAGCTGGTGCAAAGTCCTTTGGTGGAATAGTCTCAGTGTCTGAGGACTATTTCAGTGGTGAACTGGAGTGGAGCTGGGTGTGGAAGAGAAACTAGTGTGGTGGGATTGTGGAAGGCCTTGCCAATTATTGTTAATAATTCAGGTTTATTTTAAATATGATTAAAAACCCTTTCCCTGGGTGTTCTTAGGTAGGATTAGAATGGGGAGGGGGTTGTTACAGATGGAGATCTACCTGCACAGCCTAAGCCATGTTGGCAAGGGTAAGAGGGGGGCAGTCCTGAAACCACTACTTCTTTGCAATATTGCCAGAAGAATGTCAAGTGAGTCACACATAATTGTAGGCAGGAGTTTATTAGAAGGGAAAGGAAAAGGGACAAAATGACACTCTTAAGGGAGAAAGGGAGAGAATGTCCTCTCAGAGTGGAGAGGGACCACACACCTTTCTGTCCTCCAGTTTTATTGGGGGTCCCAGAGAAGTTTCTAGAGAGTCCCAACCCAGGTACACCTTTTGACTTTTTTTGGGGGGTGGGGAGGTTGTTGGGGGACTAGGGATTGAACCTAGGGCTGTTTAACCATGGAGCTATACATCTCCAGCTCTTTTAATATTTTATGTAAAGATGGGGTCTCGGGGCTGGGGATGTGGCTCAAGCGGTAATGCACTTGCCTGGCATGCGCAGGGCGCTGGGTTCAATCCTCAGCACCACATAAAATAAAAATAAAGATGTTGTGTGCACCAAAAACTGAAAAATAAATATTAAAAAAAATTAAAAAAAAATGGGGTCTCACTGTGTGGACTAGGGCCTTGTCAAGTTGCTGAGTCTGGCTTTGAATTTGTGATCTTCCTGCCTCAGCCTCCGGAGCTGCTGGGATTACAGGTGTTCCCACCATGCCCCACTACTTTTGACAGATGCAGGATGACATCAGACTTTCAAGTCACCACTGCTCATGGTCTTACCCCATGGAGGGGGAAAATTCACTATTATAATGACATGCTAAAGAACATAGGCAACTCTGGGTCACCTTGGCCCTTGCTGACCAGTTCTAATTGAAACTTGTTCCTAAAGATTTTATGGTTGGGGTCTTTGCTTTTAATTATCCTGTCTCCCTGAGTCATGGATTCTGGTCTGCAT